GGAAACCCTGAGGTTTCACATTTTGACCAAGGAAACAAAGTCAAATAATTATTTAAGAAGTTGGAATGTCTGTGCCAATCTGTAGCTGACATGTGGATATCATCAATATTTTCTGTCCACGCTTGTAAAAATCTAAAAACCAAATGATGCCTTTTTCCCCTCTATCGGAGGAATCTCAATAAACCTGCGTAAAACAATATAAAAAACTTGGATAAACATTTGTGAGTTCGTCGTTTTTTTTAAGTTGTATTTTGATTTTAATCTGTTTGGGTTTTACGAAAACGACTAGAGAATAAGCTCAAATTTTTAGTAAAGATGTTAACGGAGTTCAATTTCTTTTAAACTTAGAAAATCATAACGGTTTTTAAATTAATGTCAAGAATATCTCCTCGTAAAATGGAAATTATTGTTGGGATAATTAGTGACGATTACCAAAACTGCACACAAATAAAAAAAAACTGAACACTTGAGAGTCAAAATCCCTCTAGAATGAGAAACTTTGACTCCTTAGTCTGAAGCTCTTGAGAGTCGGAAGAAGCTATGAGCCAACAACATTACATTACCAAAAACTTTGGAGCAAGACTCACAGCTTCTGAACTTGACTCAAGTGTTGTCCCTGTGACACCCTTGACACCTGCCATATGGCACCATGTCGTCATCCAACAAATCTTAGGTTTTAGGTAGCTTATACGAGTGTACATTCAACACATCATAGCTTGTGATATGGTTTAACTACCAACCTCATATTATCGTGTGAATCCAATTACTTAAAATGAACCAATGATTTCACTAAAATTACCAACATTTTCTTTATCTACAATTTTTTATTTACCTATCCATTTTCACATTTTTTTATAAATAAATATCATTTTCATGAATAATTACACCATATTTTAATTTTATGTACTATTAACATACAAATAGTAGGGTGTTTAGAAAAAACCACCAAATTGTCAAAAACTAACCAAACGTCCAAACCATTCACGAGTTGAATGGATTGTTGAATCATATATATATATGGATAAACGCAATGGAAAAGAAATCGACAACAGTGAGAAGATTAAAATGGTTTATGATGACAATCGGAGTTCGAGTTCGGGAAATGAAGAAATTAACCAAAGCGAATGTCTTGGTAATAGATTAATATTTTTATTAGATTTGTTTTAATCAAAATTATGTTCATTACGATGTGTTATGTTTTTTATAATTCATCTTGTATTAATAGTTTTTTTCTTTAATTGCACCACATGTTCATAGCATATATGTTATGTGTTCATACTATTTCTACGATATTCTTTCACTATGTGGCTTGTTCATGTTCATCACTCGTTCATACTGTGTTCATACTATTTCTACGATATTCTTTCACTATGTGGCTTGTTCATGTTCATCACTCGTTCATACTGTGTTCATACTATTTCTACGATATTTTTACGATACTATTGTATATATATATGAAATGTAAATTTAAAAAATTAATTTATTATCATGATTAATCACAACCGTTTATTGTAAGAATCAATAACCAAAATTGGTTAACAAAGTTAACACAATAATCTTGGTTAACATTTGAACCAGCCCCTATATTTTATATATATATGAACTTGGAAGTGTAAAATAAAAACCTTGCACCCAACCACGATTAACGAGAGTTGTCTTCTGTTAAACTTGAATGGCCATCTAGAGTTATTAGGAGTTCAYGGGAAAACTGAAATACAATTATAAGGTAAATAAAAATTACACCTATAGTAAATCATAATTGTTATTTAGTTGTATTCAGTTGTCATAGGTATTTCATTTATATATAGATAGGTTATTATAAGTTTTTTCATTAAAATTTTTAACAATTTAATATTAAGGTTTTTTTCTAAATATTATACGTAATGAGTACTGTTAAGTAAATAATAATATGTGTAGTGATTGTCATGCATGTTTTTGTATGCATAATGGTTGTCATGACTATCATGTAAATAGTAATTAATGAAAATAATTAATGTTTTTATTAAATAAACTGGAACAGTGTTTCAATCATCATATATACAACAATGTAAGTAATAATACATAGGTGTCACATATGTAAATTAGAATGTGAAAGATGTAAAAACCATTAAATAACGTAAGCGATGATACAAATATAAGGAAAATAATCATAGAAAATATGATTATTAAGATAAAGTTTTATATTACATTAATATCTACATACTAATTAATGGTAAGTTAGTAACCGTCAATTTTTTATATTTCATTATAGTGTTACAAAATTGACATAATTGGTTGTCATGAATATAATTGATTTCGTGAAATAAACGATTTGATCTATAAACATTGATTGATCATGTTAGTTTATATATATAATTTCTAGATCATGCAAATAAATTAAAAAGGAAAAGTTGAAACAAAAACATATATTAGAAATAATAAAAGGAAAAAAAACTTATTAGTTTTAATTTTATTAATTGTTAGGGTAAAATAAATTATATTTTTAATTATATCGATGATTTTTGATATTTGACTTAGATATTGATTTTTTTAGCCGGTTATAGGTAGTTTTTTTTTTGGATAAACATGGTGTAATTAACTAATCTCCGGAAGTTCTATAATTTATTTGTTAAAAGAAAATGTCCAGTCACTTGATCAATCAAAAAAAGAAAATTTAATGAATACTTCTCATTTAAAAAAAATTCAAAAACTTACTTCTTCAAAATAAGAAAATTAGTTTGATTTTTTTTTTAATTTTTTTTAAACTTTTGATAAACAAACGCAAATGATACCTATTTTTTCTCTTCCGTGGATGCCATATTTTCAATATATATTTTTGAGTATGGGGTTGTTTGGTTCAGACTGAAGAATGAAAATGATAGATAGTGAAAATAGAAATGACTTTTCATTCCTCCCGTTTAACTGGAATGAAAATCTGGGCATATGAGAGAATGAACCAATTTATTAAATAAAGCCAAACAACTTTATTTTATTATCATTCTCATTAACTGTTGCTTAACACCTTTAACCAAACACCACAAGTTATATTTTTTTTTGTCTTTGTAGTTGACATTTGTTATCAAGTTGTGTTCTAATTAAAAACGATCACATTTTTAGTAACTATGGTTACCACTTTAAGCATTTTTGTTCCCTTTGACTAACTATCGTCAAAAGAGTCGTTAATTCATGGAGAATTTAGTCTTTTTCATTGTTTCTTTAATTATTATGCATTTTTTTGGTCCCTTTGACTACCTCAAAAGAATCGTTAACTTTGGGTTTGATCTACTTTGGAGTGCAAATTGAAAGGAAAGGGGTGCGTTAGGGTGAAGGGGGGGTTGTTCCAGGTTTGGATATGGAGATGAAGATGAAGATGAAGATGAAGAGGTGGACAAAGATGGGGAGGGAACAAAGAAGATAAAGATA